AACCCTGAACCCTGAGCCCTAAACCAAACTGACCCGGGAGCCTGCGAGCTTGAAACCTATGTTATGACGGTTTAGGGTTTAGGGTTTAGGGTTTAGGGTTTAGGGTTTAGGGTTTAGTGGCAGTCAGGGGAATCGTGGCGACTTCCCAGACGATACGTACATTCGCAAACTCACGCGAGCAGGTGCAGACAGGATTCGGGTGAGCGTGTGTCACCTGAAAAGTGTCACTGCCGCGACCAAAGTCGGGTTAGCACATGAAGCTCTCACCACCATGGTGGCCAACTGTCTCCGCTGCCAAATTGGCCTGCTTGCCGGCGATCCGAACATGGCCCTCTACAGAGCCACTGGCCGCAAACAGGCGAGCATGGACAAACGTAGCGGTATGTACCAGAGCATCATCGACTACTAGCCCCCCCAAGGCCCCAAACTCTCTGGGGTTTAGGGTTTAGGCTCAGACGCCATGCAGGAAGTCCGATCTCCTGCTGCAGCCCCCGAACCCAGAGCCCTAAACTAAACCCCCTTCACAACAAGAGCAACAAACGAATCACACATACCATCTACGCCCCAAATTCCAAAGGAACTCCTGAAGGAGCCCCTTAAAAGTTCGTAAAGGCACTGTTGCAGGAACCCTTGAATGATTCCTCAAAGGACATTGAAAGATACCCTGATAGAACCAAACCTTAGAACCCCTAAACCCCGAACCCCCAACCATAGACATCCCTGCAGTCCCCTTATGTTTGCCATCGGTGCTCCCTAAATCCTAAACCCCAAACCCTAAACCCTGAACCCTAAGCCCTAAACCCTCAAAAAATAACTCCGGAACTCCTAAAGCCTCAAAAAATAACTCCGGAAGCCTAAACCCGAAGCCCTAAACCCTCAAAAATAACTCCGGCACCCTAAACCCTAAACCCTATAAACCCTAGAAGGCCCCCTTTATGTTTCTATCTCGGCTGCTAAGGAAAGTCAAAGAGCTCCATGCCCAAGAACAGGAGTGGCTTTTCCAGGCCATTTTTGGGCGTTTAGGGGTTTAGGGTTTAGGTGTTTAAGGTTTAGGGTTTAGGGTTCAGGTTTTTGGAGTTTAGGGGGTTTGGGTTCAGGGTGTAGCGGTTTCTGGGGTTTGCGGATTTAGGTTTTAGGGTCTTAGAGCTTTCGGGGTTTCTGGGGTTTAGGGTTTAGGCTCTTCCAGGCCATTTTTGCCATGGGCTTTCGGGCATTTGGGGTTTTGGGCTTAGAGCTTGAGGGGTGTTTAGGCTTTAGGGGTTTCGGGTTTGGAGATTGTAAGGTTTGGGGTTTAGAGCTTCAAGGGTTTCTTGTCGAAAACTTAGGGTTTAGGGTTTGGGCTCTTCCATTCATTTTTGTCCGGTGCTTTGAGGTTCCAAAAGGGCCCAAGAATAAGGTATTTGGGGTTTGGGATAGTTTAGGGTTTGGGCTTTCCGGTATAGGATGGTTCTAGGGTTGAGAGTTTAGGGTTTAGGATGGTGTAGGGTTTAGGATCGTAGTGATGTAGGTTCATGCTAAGTAAATGATTCTTGGGTGCTTGAACGCTTTGGGTTGCTGAACCCTAAAACCTAAACCCTAAACCCTAAACCCTAACCCTAAACCCTAAACCCTAAACCCTAAACCCTAGACCCTAAACCCTAAACCCTAAACGTTGAGTGTGCTCAGGCCTCTGGGGTTTAGGGGTTAAGGGCTTTGGGGTTTTAGTTGTTAAGGGCTTAGGGGTTTTAGGGTTCTTTCAGGGTTCCTGTCGAGGGGTTTCAGGCTTCCTCTTGGATCTGGGTTGGGGTTTAGAGGTTCAAGTTTATCTGTTTAAGAACCCTTCAGGTACTGTAGTCTGAAAACCCCCTAAACCCTAAGCCCTAGGCCTTAAACCCTAAACCCTAAACCCTAAGCCCTAAGCCCTAAACCCTAAACCCTAAACCCTAAACCCCAAACCCCAATTTCCTCAGCAAGAGCCGTTTCTTGCTCGGCCTCTTGCAAGGCTCTCAAGGGCGAGTTGAGTGAGAAGAACTCGGTAAAGGCGCAAGAGCCGGGTCCCCCGGGGGCTTTTTCCGCTTGGGGTTTTTAGGATTTAGCTCTTTGGACTTCAGAGTTTAGGGTTTAGGGTTTAGGGTTTAGGGTTTAGGGTTTATATTGGTTTAGGGTTTAGGGTTCAATTCTCTCGAATTTACATTGCCACTTCGTATTGCTCTCCGGATTTGTCTGTGTCCGCGTTTGCTGGTCTCGTTTTGATCACTTGGCCACTCACTCATTCCGCCTTAGTTTAGGGCTGTGTGTTACACGGGTTTGAAGTTTTGACACTTTAAGGAGTGAGGGCTTGTGCTTTCATGCCTTTTGGGAGGGATTGCCGTCTAGGGTCACAGGCTGTGGACCCCCGCCCCCCGGTTTGAACGAAACCATAAACCTGAAACCCTAAACCCGGAGACACATCCCCTAACCCACCAAAAACCCTAAACCCTAAACCCTAAACCCCCGACACCCGAAACACTAAACCCTAAACCCTAAACCCTAAACCCTAAACCCTAAACCCTAAACCCTAAACCCCGAATCAAGGTACCACCTTGTGAAGCACCGGGCCATGGGAAATGATCCGGTCGTGACGGAGAGGCGCGGTGCTGGCGGTTTAGTATAATCTAGGTAGGCCTTTGGGGTCTAGGAGTTTAGGGGTTTAGGGTTTAGGGCCTTTGGAAGATTTCATATTTTCTTTAACTAGGGGTTGAGGGCTTAGGGCTTGGTTAGTAACATACAGGGTCTGGAATGCCCCCACATCAAAGAACCAGAGCTATCAACACCCTGCCGAGACCCCTATCCCTAAGCCTTGGTTTAGGGTTTAGGGTTTAGGGGTTTAGGGTTTAGGGTTTAGGGGTTTAGGGTTTAGGGTTTAAAGCCCTAAAACCGTATAGCCCACTGGCCTTGGTTGCGTAAGCCCAGGATGCTAACCCTTCAAGCCGAAATCCAAATTTCTCAACCGTACAACTCAAGTCCTGAGCCGTAATCCGCGACCCAAACTGAAAAGCTCACAGTTGCAGCCATAAACGAAGCTATAGGGGTTACCATCAGCGTTGTGAGTATTAAAAGGGGTAGTGCCCTAATTAAGCCCGAACCCTCAACCCTATAACCTCTAAACTCCAAACCCTATAAATCCCAAATCCCAAACCCTATAAACCTTAAACCCCCGAACCTAAGCCCCATAAACCCTCAACCCTACAGTGAACGCCGAAGCTGCAGGTTAGACAAGGACCTCCTGAAAGCTCGCAAGTACAAGTTCGGCTTGGGGGAGTATGCTGCAGCCTTGGGCATGACCGCTTTAGGATTTAGGGTTTTGGGTCATTAAGAATCAGGGTTTAGGATTTAGG